GGGACCTCTTGGATAGCCCAACTTTTCGTTGTTCTGTAAATGGTGTAACGACATTCTGGAATATCGCTGTCCGTTTCTGGAAAGGTAATTTTATTATTAATAATAGTATTTAGCTTGTTTATTTAGTAATATTAGTTTTTTCTTAAATTTATTTTGTAACAACTTTCATGAATTTTACTGTTCAATTTTGGCAAAGGTAACTCAATTCTAAAATAATAGTATGTCATTTGTCATTTTTTAATATTAGTAGTATTCTAATTTTCAAAGCAACTTGCAGTCTTTTTTTTCTAAATTTATTGTGGCCCCATTTTGATTCAAGAAGCATTATTACGTTTTTCTGATACTTTCTGCACTTGCATCTACATTGCCTACCTATAGTGGTTAAACTAAAAAATTGGGATTATTTTATTTAAATGTTAGTATCTTAATTAATACGAATACTTTTAATATTTCAAAAATAGCAGTACTGGAAGTAATATAACAAAATATAATGCAGGGTTTTAAGTTAAAAATATCCCTATCATTAGACCATACAAGCAATGAATTGTAAAAATAAAAACAAGAAAAGTGTTCTGCAAAATTACGAAAATGTTAAGACAAATTAGAGAAGAGTTGTTAAAAAACAAATAAATAAAATATCCTTATTATATTATGGTGTTAAATGAAATTTTCACATATCATGGCATTGAGCAATTTTTTGTCTTAGCAAGTACTAATTTTAGTTAATTGACATAGAAATTTTAAGAATTCACGTTTCATAGAGTAAATCCCCCATTACATTATTTCTAGTAATTGTTCTTCATGATTTTAAAAAGTTATATATTTTATTATTCGATTTTATGTATTATATATTTGCTTGTTTTTTAAATTATATTACTTATTTTTTGGTTTTTAATGAATAAAATTTTAATTTCAACTTTACAATTTGCATTCAAACTGTTTGCTTATTCATAACACTTTGGTATAAGGTCTTTATTAAAATAAACATTTATTGTATTGACGTTGAGAGTAGCATATCCGGGAAGTTTCGTATTTCATTTTCTCAGAAATTTTTATTTTTGGCGTTCATTCAAGGAAATATCAGGATGCGATGTTAAACCATGAAATTGTCATAATAATTTAGGTATATAAAATAAATTCTTATCAACTCTTTATAATCTCTAAATAAATTTGTTACTTAGAAAAGTATGTCATAATGTCGAAGGTATAAAATTAGCAGAATTTCCTAATGGTTTAAAGCAGGGTTGGCATGATTTAAATCGTGATTTAAATCAAGTGATTTTTTTAATTTTAATCATGTGATTTAAATAAAAAAAAATTATTGAAACTTTATAATAAACCAAAAAATAACTGTAATAGTTATAAAAATGTGTCGTAGAAAACTAGAAAATATATTTCTATAACAGATATAACAAATAATAAATCGAAAAATAATTGTATATGTTATACAACTATATAAAAGTTTCATTCATCAATTTAAATGTTTGACCTATTTTTGAAGTAATTTCGTGTGAAGCCATTAGACCGCTAAACGCAGGGACTTATTTTAAAATTTATGTATAAGTGACAAAAATTCGCTGTTCAGATACATATCATTCACAAAGTCTAGTGCAGAACTAGGTTCTTCTGATATAGAGACTATATCTTCATTCCCGAGAATCTATAATCGTTGCCAGAAAATTTGTTGTTTTATATTTTTTTGAATCGATTGTATGTTTCCAAATTCTTACCGACATTTTGATCTGCAGTAAGTACTTTACACTTTGACATTAGATAATACATACTAATTTCATTCTCGACATAAGACTATTTCCGAACAACAGTGTATTGTTTTATTAGTAGTAAATATTACACTTATTTTGACGATGCTCTAACCTAACCTTTGAAGGATCATCGTAAAGCTATTCCGACATTACAGGGAGGCACAAAAAGTACATTTTTACTCTGTTACTATAGAACATACTATTTCTTTTAAAACATTACAAATATTTTTTAATCAATTTCAAACCTTGCAAATAATATGAACAGTAATCGAGCAAAAATTTGTACACTCGTTGAATTTGACACTTAATATCAGTTTAATAATATATTTTTGTACTTTTGTGCTTAGGCGTAACAATGCTTTACTTTTATGCCTACGCGTTAAAATGACAAAAGTTAATATTTTTGAGATGTTTGAAAAAAATACTTTTGATCTGAAGCGAGCGACTTTTTTTGCGGAATATATTGGTTACCGATGTGGAAAAATGACAACGCGCCGTAGAATTGTTAATGTTATCGGTATCGGTCAGAGTTATAAAGATTTAGCCATTTAGGATAGGATTTTAATTGGAAATAGGTCCTAGTCATTTGGAAATTCGATTTAAATCTTGTTTTGAATTAAAATCAAATAAATCTGATTTTTTTTAAATCATGATCTTTTCCAACCCTGGTTTAAAGTTTAGTTCATGGATTTATTAGCATTTGGTTTTGTCCCACTTTTAATATGCTTTATTTTTATTTATTTTTTGATCTAGAACATTCATTTTTTTAGTTTAAAACGACTTGTTCTTTTGGAGTATGTATTAACCTTTGTCAATTTCAGGTGCCAACGGCAAAAAGGTAACCAACCCCCTGGTGGTTTGCCTGAACCTGACCGGATGCGAGACCGAGGAAACCGGTCAAGCGAGGGTCCGGTTCCAGTTCGGAGTTTGGGACGCCACCATCAAACACTGGGAGTGTTGTCCCATCTCCAGCGTGGTGCTCAACCTCCAGAACACCAAAGAACTCCTCTCTGTCGGTTACAAGAGCTTAGGCATCTTGGACAGGCACATCGATAGCAGTAAGCGCCATTTTGGTTCCTTGAAACTTGTTTTTAGTTCTTTCTTCCCGACTAGATAAGGACATTAAGATTATGGTCAAGATTCAGATTATTCAGAGCGACGAAGAGGTCCACAGTTTGTCGCAGGATATGGCGAGGCTGATGACGTGCGAAGAGAACAAAGATACCGTGGTAGAGTGCTACTGCGATTCGGAGAATAAAGAGAATAGACAGAATCCGATCAGGGTGCACAGTTGGATAGTGAGGACTAGGAGCGAGAAGCTTGCCAAGAGATTGGACGAAAGTAGCGATGAAAATAACAAAGTAAGTGTCATTACTTAATCTAACATTGTGAACAATGTATGTGTAAAATATATGAACTTTCTATTTTTATATGCACTTATAAATATAATTTTTTTTAGTTGTTTCTTGGGTGTTGTGGCTATGGTTGCAGTAAAAAAGTAAAACAATAATTTTTCAACGTTTCGCAATTTAATGTACTTATGCTTCTTCAAGATTTTTTTTGGTCTTTCCTATGTCTTGGAGTAGTGTTTCTTATCATTTCTTTACTGAGAATGTAATTCTATTTCTGAATGTGTTTCTTAGTTTTTTTACTCAGAATTACATTCTCAGTAAAGAAACGATAAGAAACACTACTCCAAGACATAGGAACATAGGCTGTCAAGTGTTACCTGAACAAACTCAACCTGTATCAAAGAAGTCTTTGCTGCAGACTCTGCGATAAAGATCCTGAACCAGCGTAGCACATAATATGTTACTGCAAGGCTCTGGATCGCAAGCGACACTTTTTATTTGGGAAAGCTAGGCTAGAACCGGAGCACAGGGGGGTATTTGACACCGATAGTTGATAGACCTTATAGAAATTATTGCTATTTTCAATTAAAGAGGAAATAATATGAACAAAATAAAGGATAATTCGTCGATTCTATAAAAAGAAAGAAAAATCACCAGTGCCAGTAGTAATATCGCAACTAATACTACTATTGCTACGACTGATCCGCGAACAATTCCCATATCACTAATGCCGCTACTAATGCCAAATTGTGCTATACTGCTAATGGCACTAATGCGATCGCCTTGTACACAACAATGCCATCGCGGTTTACACCTCGCATTAGTATATCACTGATTTGCAAATTAGAGGAAATGAAGAATATTTTTCTCATTTTATCAGCAAAGTCGCAAAAAGTCGCAGTATTTTATTTTACTGTATGAAAGCCCAATGTTTACTAAGTAAAACGTATATAGACAATATGCTGAATTCTTCGAAATGCGCAACTAAATCTCTAAGTATAATAAAAATGTCACAAATTTAATCAAATTTTCTGAACGCCTAACTTTTTGTTGAAAAAAATCGTTAGTATAGAGAATATCAAAATAAATAATATGTTTTTGTAGAATACATACATGTAGCTTGCTGAGCCGTTTTCAATCAAAACAATAATATTAACGTAAAATGCGCAACAGAACAACAATCATTTATAATTTTAAACATAAAATTTAGCCATTTACCTCTTATCTCTGAGAAGTAACAACTTTGACGTTTCGTTGAAACAAATGAATGCAACTAAACACACCCATAGCAACGCCATTCATGACAGACATGATTTAACTTATCATTTATCTTTTGTGGAAATCTTAAACACATTTGCTTTTTTCGAATTTCGATCACCTTTTCGTGCTAATACTCCACCGAGGAACTATGCTCCCATCCTATCAAGGACCTGCATAAGTTAGTGCAGGGCACAGGGATAGGAGAATGGGTGCAGATATAGAAAGGGACAAACACAATAGGCCTCACAGGTCGCAGTGTTTCCGGCAGAGGACGGCCCCTTATTGTGAAAAAAAAAGACATAGGAAAGTTCAAAAAAGACGAAAGTAAAAAAAATCTTGAAGAAGCATAGTACATTAAATGCGAAACGTTGAAAAATTATTGTTTTACTTTTTTACTGCAACCATAGCCACAACACCGAAGAAACAACTAAAAACAAATTATATAAGGCTAAAGAATAATCACTGTCAACTTATAAATATATGTCATATACCGGGTGTTTTTCAATTTTTATTTTTTCAGATAGAAAATGTGACCTAAATCTGGATTAATTTATATCAATTAGTTTCGAATTGGTTTGGTTTGGTTTTCCAACCAACTGCAACTTCTCATTTTTAAATAACACCGTGTTTTTTTACTTTATTTGATAAAAATTATATTCTGTATAGATTTATACAGGGTGAGTCTTAAATAAGTGCAAATATTTTCGGGGTTGGTAGATCTCGATTAATGAAACATATTTTCTCTTTACCGTTTTTCAAATAAATCCAAAATAACCGAGATATTTTATTTTGAAAATTTCCAAAAAAAGTGAATTTTTGCTAAAATTTTGAGAACCACTTGATCTTTTCTGGATTTTCTTTTTGTAGTAAATTTAGTCTACTACCTATGTTGCCATATTATCAACAAATTATGTTTTTTAACTAAAAACTAACAAAAATTCAAAATTTTTTTTTCAAAAATTTAAAATTTTCAAAATTTTTTTTTCACGCGAAAAAACTCATAATTGTCTTTCTGGGGTCAAAATATACTACCCCTGAAAATATTTGCACTTATGACTCACAAAGTATATATTATGTCAACTTTTGACATTTTGTGTTAAAAAAATTGTATTTTAAATTTCAATCGAGAGTGCCACGACAATAAATTATTGTTACGACAATTTAACTCGAAATACCAAGTATGTGGTACCAAATTATTCGTAAAAAATGCTTTTCCAAATATGCTAATGAGCCACCCTTGTTCCATTTGAAAAAATTGGATTATAATTAAAATTTTGGGAATATTTTTAGACGGCCAGAAAAGACACGAACAATATTAGCTGATCAAATCTATTTTTCCTAGGCTCATTGATTAAAAATTAGTGGTTTTAACACAGTCATGGTACTCTAGATTGAGATTTAAAAATACTTTTTTTATTGAAAATATCAATATTATGATTTTCATCAAATAAAGTAAGAAAATACCGAGGGTACCATTAAAAAATCAAAGTCACTTCATGTGAGATACGTTCAAGTTACCTAAACTATATATTGAATACGTCAATCAGTCCCGATTTATATCATATATACTAACATATCAAATCTCGTTTTGTATCTGAAAAAATCAAAAAGTTATAAGGGTGCGCCATTTTTGAAAAACTCCCATTATAATCCTTTCACTATTAAAAAATTGTTCGATTTTTATTCATGTTTTTAATCAGGAAATGATCACACGTTCATATAATCTCACTGTAATTCAAGTTGCCGAAATTTATACACTTTACATAAAACCGCTTATAAAGTAAATAAGGAATAAAATAACATATAAAAGCAAACCAAACTCGCGAAAAATCAAATTTAACAAGAGCAATGTCAAACAAAGCTAACTCAAATTAACTAAACTATTTCAAATTGATACAATAACGTAGGTTCTGTTTTTATCGTACAAATTTAAAAATTTTATATTGTTTGACACCTTCCTTAATCCTTCTATTGAATGGTAGTAAATCAGTAACTATTATTCTTTTAAATTTGAATTTCTCTAATGCCTTTTTCTCATAATTAATTAAAATAAAATTACATAGCAACTTATTTTATTAAACTCACAGTTTAAACATTTGTATTTTTTATATTTTTTGTTAAAAATAAATTTAGTAGTTTAATAAATACCCAATACTTTGTAAATACTCTGTGTATTCATATCAAAGTTTGATAGATAAGTTTTCACGGACACCTAACAGATAACGGAAATAATCATAATCCTAACGAGGAATGAGTTTCAAGTTTTAGCTTCTGATTTTTGCCTAGCAACTAGTAATAATTTTGCTCTTTGAAAATAAAAATAAATATATTTTATTTATATCAGAAGTAGTTTCTAACTTTGAAGCCCTTAGGTACATTTTTTGCTTAAAGAAACTAAGCCATGAAAGAAGTAATTCTAACTGCAAAATTTATATATAAAATGTTTTAGATAGTAAGTTATAACCGCGACCTTATATGTCTATTTTGTCTCTCTTTCTTGGTTATAACTCATCATACAGTCTGAGGGCTTTGACAAATGTTAGTAGCTAAGAGGGTTTTACAGAGTTTAGGAAGGATATAAAGGATTAAGGAATATAAGGATTATTTATATTAATTATCTTTTGTGAACTATTCTAAATACAATCTAGATTAGATGATGTAGAGATACACTGAGATTATTTAACTTTATCTGACCATGTTTTAACAAAACTAAAAAAATTAACGTAAATTTTTCTATTACGTCAAATTTGCCTAGTTAAAATCATCCTGTTAATGAATAAGGCTTAGTTTTATTTTATAAATATGAATAATGTTATTATTTTGCAGAATATGAAGTACACATTAGCCTTACCTGAATACTCTTACGGAGTTGTTTGTGAACTTATTCGGTATATCTACACTGACAAAGTTGACTGTGCGGACAAGTATGCTGCCAAATTACTGCCAATTAGTACAATTTACACTTTACAAGGTAATGAAATACTTAATTTTCTTTTATTAAATTTAAAATATTTATTTATAAACTTACAGGATTGAAGGGTCTCTGTGAACGTCATCTCATTGAAAGTTTAACTCCAAGCAACGTGGCCAACATCCTTTTACTGGCCGATCAATGCAGATGTGAAAACCTTTAGAAAGCTGCATTGCATTACTGTGAAGACTCTGAACAAATAAAGGGAACGTTCACATAGGTAGGTTACTTCATATATAAGAATCACTTTTAAAACGTCCTTTGATGTTGCGCGATACCTAGTCGCCATTGATTTCGTTCATTCCAGTCTCCGTCACGCAGATCCCTTGAGCTCATCGCCTTCTTGACACTCTCCATCCAGTTTGTCCTTGGTCTTCCCCTGTTTTCTTCTCTCTTTTGTAGAAGCCAGTTTAGTAGCTTCTGAGGCAGTCGCGTGTTGTCCATCCTTCTCACATGTTCATACCACTTCAGTTGTGCACTCTCTAGTTCCTCTACTATAGTTTTTCGTCTACCCATTTTGTCCATGATTGTCTCGCTTCTTACTCTATCCAGCCTTGATGTTCGCGCTGATCTCCTTATCGCGTCCATTTCTACCGCCAGTAATTGTCTTTTGTTATTCTCTGTTAACCTCGCACGAACTAGATTTTTTACATAAATAATTTTGCTTTGACATCTGACTTCAAGTAATAAAATCCTGTCATCAGAGCTACAGTCCTCGAGAAAAAATAATTGAAAATTTTTTCGGACCCTTTTTGAATTACCCTAATTCAAATTCCAACTTAAATTCTTAGGTGTTTATGCTTAAAATTTGAAATACATACTTAATGTAAGTTATTTATATTTGAATTTTGAATTATTTACACAATAAGTACTTCAAATATTGCAAATCTTTACTTAAAATTCTGAAGTACTTGAAATTCTTTAAGTAGAATTAAAAATATCCACACGATTAATGAGAAAGTATTTATCGTCAAAGAATCTGGTTATTTCGTAACTAAATTAGCCTAAAACTAGTACAAAAAGGTCGTTTGCGATCCAGGGGTGCAACTTTGTGCATGTTTCAAAGCGATAGCAAAGTAATTGTGTAGCTTGAGGCACTATGTTCAGTAGCAACATCGATTCGTAGCGATATACTGATTTCTTGCTTTGTGGCGAGGCGACTGCCTAGACCGTGTCGCACACGTGTGCAAGAGTGTGATAGTGATACCATATTTTGCAGTATTTGCCGAGAATACCCGATTTGATAAAGCAACAATAGTTTTGCAATGAACATAGTACCGATCATGCTATAGGTCGCATTCGACATTGCTTCTAAATGATCGGTTGCTAACTTGAACAAAGTTGCACCCCAGAACCTCGCAATGACATATTATGCGCCTGTTTTAAGATATTTATTGCAATCTACAGGAAACACAGAGTTCTCCATCTCTGATATCAGTCATACCAAAGTTTATGGCGCGAATAGTTGTCGTCTAGGCGCACTGTGATGAGGTGTTCTGCTGTTTCCCCATTCTCCCCTCTACTGAGGTCTTCGTTGAGGAGACAGTGTCCTGTTAAAATCCCTGTGACAATTCGAAGATTGTTCTTACTTAAATCAAAGACAATCTTTGAATCTTTGTTCCTTGGTCTCGGTCGTAAGTTCTGAGAAATTCCATCGAGTGTCTTAGACCGTTGGAGGATTCCCATTCCAGGTTACGAATGGTTCCTTCCAGGTTCTTGAGTCCCGCTTTAAGTTGGTTTCTACTTGGAAAGCATAGTTAGTGGAGTGTTCGTTCCTTTTCTAGCTAGATCATTTAGTTGCTTTCTCAATTCCTTCTATACCTTGGTAAGCCGGCATACTTACGTCTTCACTGCAGAGCATTAGCAGTTCTTTTGTAGTTTTAGAGTTAGGTCCTTAAATAAAGGCCTTGCTATGCCTATGCTCCTGTCTATTTGTCCAGTGGACATTCTGCTTTTCCCTGATCCAGAGTTTTAGCTACTACGAGTTAAGCCTCATTCTCCGTTCTACAACCTCGCAATTAGTGGAATAAATTAGTGGTTTCAATTCAGTAACTTCAGTAAAATTGAGTTAGACCTCGATTCCTGTTAAAAATGTAGGTTAAAATCGATTGTATGCCAGTTTTCCCCCAAAATTTAACATGTCCCTTGAAAACTAGATTATGAACTTGGTACCCAAGTAGCATTTTCACGACTTGCGACCACATTGTTTACTAAAACACAACGTTGGATTAGCCACAAAAAATAGTTAAATTCCCCACCTTAGGTATTAAAATAAATTTAAACGGCGTTTTATAACGTTGTGCCGGACGTTGATCTAGTACTACAGCAAAGTAGAAGCTTTGCGACGTCGAATAAACGTTGTCTTGTAACCTTTTTGCTTAAGTGATCTTTAGTGATTCTCGGACAACGTAGTTACAACGTTGGACAATATAGAGTTTTCCCGACGTCAGTTTCAGGACCTATACCAACGTTATGCAAACGTCGTCTGTTTTACTAATTCCAACGTTGTTTAGATTTTTATTCTTACGTTGGTAGGACGTCGAGTCACTACCTTTTTGCAACTGTATTGAACCATAACCTTTAAATCTTAAATTTCACTTCATTGTTCTTGTTCAGTCAGACAGTCCAGTGCTGTTTTTGTTTTTATAAAAACTTAATTAAAATGGGACATAAGAAAAGGTACATATAAAACTAAATTTAAATATACATCGACATATTTTACCGATAGTTTATCCACTTCCTCGTTTATTTAGGATTATAGAGGGCGGCACAATCTAGACTCTAGGATGACTAAATTAGGCAAACTCGGGACTAGTATACTACCTGTTAAGGCCGAACTGCGACTTTTATTTAGTCCAGTATGCTACCACTGAACTACTCCATCTTAATTCCAAAACAACAAAGTGAAAGCCACCATGATGTATTAAATAAGAAAATGTTTCTGTTCCTAAAATAGCAATTCCTGCTTTTGAATACATTAACTTGAAATATTTGACCCTTAAAAACACGCGAAAACAATTTTTTCTGACTGCGAATAAATTATTCTCATTTTTTCAAAAAAAAAAAATTCAAGAAAATTTTTAAAACTTTTAATTTTAAGGCCCATTAGTATTTTTCAAAGTAGAAAACAATACATTTATCAATAAAGTTGTTTGTGTTTAACTTTTTGCCTTTGGGTAACGAGTTACAGAGTCGGTTAAAGTAGTTTCAATAATTATGATCTTCAAACATCCTCCACTAATTTTAAATACTTTCTTTGTTTCTGTTTTCCTTCACTGCCATCTGACATATGTCTCTAACTAAATCATAAAAATAATATTTTTACTATAATTATCCCAATTTAGGATAAAACGCGACTTAGACGCCATATTAGTTTTGTATTTCTGCGAATTAGGATTTTAAACAACGTGGCAGTTTGTACTAAATTAGGCTTCTAGCCAACGTTGGTATCCAACGTCGTTTCGACCCAAAAATTATTCTCCAAACTAGTGCAGACTAGGGTTGGCACGAGGTTGTGCCGACGTTGCACCCCGACGTTTGGTCGCGTGACACAACGTTGTCCCGATGTCCAAATGCTGCTTGGGTAGTTTACTTCAAAACTTAACAAGTCACGCAACAGAAAAAACGTCTCAGATACAGAACGATTTGATTCAAAAAGCAACAAGCCATTACATTTTAAATGAAATACAATTAATTTAAAAGCAAACGTTAACAAGTCCCAATTTAAAATTTTTAGCAATTTTAAAAGCAGCAACTGCCGCCACCTATCAACCGATATTTAAGCTTAATTTACGGGCTATTTATGTTTTCTAATATAATACTAAAAATTGTTTTTTGACAAACATCTACAAGTCCCAAAAATACTTTAAGCAAAACTAAACAAGTCCATATGTCTTAGACAAAACTGAACAAGTCCAAACTTTTTTTTTAAATAACACTAAAAGTAATTTTTTATTTTTTACAAAAATTTGTATGCTTATTGGTTTGGATATGTATGAAATTAATAACCAAAAATTTAATTTACTTTATGATTAGTATAACCTGGAAACATTTTTTATATTTCCTGTAAAATTAAGCACCAAGGACTTGTTTAGTTTTGGAGACAAGCTACTGAATTACACTTTATACTTACTTAGTTTATGATCATTCACAATGTTTAAAAAAACACAATTAAAATTAATAGAATACCCTAGCCACAGCTTGCATTAGTCAGGTGTATCAATAGAGAAAGCCTAATATTTAGCTTTTAAACCAATCAACTTTTGATTTCTAACTACAATTTTTCTTGACTGAAGATAATGACATTTCTCGCAAATTCTGAAGTATAATTAGAGGAAAAGTTAAAAGTTTGATAGCTTTTTCTACTAATTGAAAATGTCTACTACTAATTCTGACGTTCTGAATGCTTAAGCTTCATTAAGAACCTCAAAATTAGTAGAATAAATCAATGGTTTCAATTAGCGTAGAAGTTTGTTCCTCTAATATCAATTTAAGCATTCACAACGTCAAAATTAGTGGTAGTATTATTCAATTAGTGGAGAAAGTTTTAAATGAAATATTAAAATATTATTAAATTTTTGAATAAAATTGAAATGTTTCAGTCTACTGAAACATTTAACTTTTCCCCTAATTATACTTAAAAAATTGCGAGGAATGTCATTTCGGCCTTTGATTATCATCGAACAAGAGAAATTAGTGGTTAGAAATCAAAAGTTGATTGTTTTATAAGCTGAGTATTGGGCTTTCTCTATGGATAAAACTGACTAACGCAAGCTGTGACTAGGATATTCTATTAATTATTAATTATGTTTTTTAAACATTGTGAATGATAGTGAACTAAAAAGTATAAAGTGTAACTGAAACCGCTAATTTATTCCAGTAATTGCGAGGTTCTGAATGAAGCTTTATACATTTGGATATTCCCAGTAGTGGCTCTGGACCAAGATGACATTCCGATAATCCTTGCCTTGCTTAAACAAAATATATTTTTTATCAATTCATCAATGCATACTTCACACAAATCCATACTTCTTATGAAAACTAACTTGATCATTTCTTTGGTTTCAGGTGGCAGAACATTAGCTTGGAGAGTTATGGAAATGGTGAACCCAGACTTATTTATGGAAGCTTGCGAGAGTATAGGAAGCTCGTCGAGTAATTTAGACAGTACGGGAACACCCCGAGGCTCCTGGAGCGACTGAATAAAATTTAAACCAAATCACAAGATTACGCTGACAAAAGTACAAAATGGTTTTATTAGTTGTAATATTATTGTTTCTGATGTATTTTGCCTGACAGTTTTTAAGATAGGACTTGATATTTATTTAAGATCAGTACTTTTAAAAATAAACGTTCTTTTTAATGTGATCTGATTAGACAAGCTATATACTAAGATGATGTATTAATACTAGAAATAATAATATTTTTGATATATGTAATTTTTATACATAAAAAAATTAGTGTAGTATTTATATAAGTAAATTGTATTTAAAATTTAAACACATTTTTATATTTGTAGGTTTTGTATTTATTTTTCATATTCATTATGTGTATATATTATACTAGTGAATTCTATTAAGTGAAACTAT